AAGACAAAGAAAGGGTGGGGGAGGGAAAAGAAGAAAAAGAAACGGGGTCAATTTAAAAATTATAAAATACAAAAAATTAAAATTTGGCCCAAATGACCTGCTGGTTACTTGAAAACTGGCTTCAGGTACCATTCGTGAAAGATTTTTAAAAGTTCAGAGATTTTTTTGAAAAGTTTTGAAGTTTAGGTACCGAATCGAAATTTTCGTGAAAGTTGAGGTACCATTTTTGAAATTTACCCTCAATTTTTCATAGCATTAGGTTTTTATGAAATACTCCGTAGTTTCGGGGTTTTGACGTTTGAACGCGCAATATGTGTAGGGTAAATTTCAGTAATGGTACTTCAACTTTAACTGTAATTTCAAAGTGAAATCTAAACTTTAAATTTTTTCACAAAAATACCTGAACTTACATAATTCTTTCATTAAAAGTCTATTTACCCGTTTCCAGGTTAACTTTCGATTATTTGGGCTAAATTAGAATTTTATATATTTTAAAATTTTAAATTTGACTCCATTTCTTTTTTTTCTTCTACTTCCCCTCCCACTTCCTTCTTTTTCTTCTTCTTTCACCCCCTTTCTTCTTCTTCTTCCTCACCCCACCCCACTCCCAGTCCCACCCCGCCAGCCCCCCCACTCTCTCCCTTCTTTTTTTCTTCTTCTTCCCTCTCCCACTCCTTTCTTCTTCTTCTTCTTTTTTCACCCACTTTCTTCTTCTTTCCCCTCCCACTACATTATGCGGAGTATTTAAAAAGTTGACCCGATACAGGACAGAAAACAGAGCACCGTCCACCAAATTAAAACAAGAATCAGATTAAACATGCATAGGTATTACTGTACATTAGATGGAAAACAGGGTATGGCATTCTTGGTAAAATCTCGATTTTCATTAAGACTCGATTTTTCTTCAAGATTGATTAAGAATGAAGAGATTGGGCTGTTAAATATGTTATGTATATATTTAATATTAATTATGTGATCATTGTAATTATGGTAGTTTACATGTATAGGTTTCCTAACGTAATTAGGAATCCTTTGTAACTATATATACGAGGCTTCTCCCTCATTATTCCTGAATATAGAAAATAATAATTCTTCATGGTATCGGCTCTTCCTCCTTCTCATTCGCAGGTTCTCTCTCGGTGATTTTCTCACCGGAAAATCGTCCCCCTCCAGCGCCGATGACTCGGAATGGTTCCAACTTGACGCCCTCATACAAGGTTGGATCCTCTCCACGGTCAATGATGAAATTTGTGATCTTGTTCTCTCTACAACCAACTCCGCATCCGAGCTTTGGAAAGCCATCTATAACATCTTCCACGACAACAAGCCGGCCTGGGCGATGCAACTTGAGCACCAATTCCGCACCACCACGAAGGGTTCTCTCTCCTTTGCCGCTTATTGTCAAACCCTCCGGAATCTTGCGGATTGGTTGGATGATGTAGATGCCCCCGTCTCCGAACAACAATTGGTTCTTCAAGTCTTGCGTGGTCTCCCGGATGATCTTCGAGGACAAACGTCGTTCCTTCAATACCAAATGCCGCCCCCGACCTTTCTTCAAACCCGTTCGGCCCTCCTCTTAATTGAACAACAACGGGCTGAACTGGGTGTCAGCAGCAACACGGGGGACGGCGGCACGGCGTTATACGCCGGCAGTGGAGGTCCACGGTGGCAGGGCAGCGCTGGTGGCGGGCAGTCAGAATCCAGCGGCGGGGGAGGCTTCGGGCAGCAACAGCAGCATTCCCGGCATCATGGCGGTTCCTCTCGGGGTCGTGGTCGCGGTCGCAGCTCCGGATCAAATGCACGGAACACCATCGGGCAGCCCTCTGGACAGTTCACCTACCCAAACCCTAACCCGGGCCTTCTAGGCCCGCGGCCAAACCCCTACCCGCACCCCCAACACCCACAAGCCTATTTTTCTACCCCTCACCCGCCCCATAGCTATAACCCCAAC